GGGGAGTGAACAAAAAAATTGTAGGCACCCCTGTCAGTGTTACATGGGTTTTTCCTAATCACTGTAAATAAAACTTTTTCAGGACACTTTGGCCTGGTAAAAGAAGTGGACAGACGGAATCATATATGTAATGTTACACAGTTACACTTTCATACATACTTTCATACTTTCATACATAAAAACATATTCTCCAAAAATATATATATATATGTTAGGATTTGAGGACTTTAAATACTAAACTTCCTGGTAAGGTTTCTTCCTTGATTATACAGTAACAGACAGCATAAAATTAAGTCTATTTTTTAAATATTATATAAACCATAATATATTTTGCTACTTTTGATTTTGAGCACTCCATAGTTCAAGTAGTGTGCAAAATAGCATAGTGTCTAAAATATGTAAAGTGCTGGTCATATAAAACAGCATGCTGAGTACATACTTAAAATGCACTAAAGTTCAAAAATACATTTTTATTTCAGGTAGTCCCCAGGTTACTAACAAGATAGGGTCTGGAGGTTTGTTCTTCAGTTGAATTTGTATGTAAGTTGGAACAGGTACATTTATTAAGTGTAACTCCAGCCCCAATTTTTTTTTTTACTTTTGGATAGCATAGGGGAGGGGTTAACCCCCTGTAATGTTTATTTTGCTGTCCTCATAGTGGCTCCAATCCCACACCATTCTAACCAAAAGTTAAAAAAAAAATTTTCTTTGCATGGAGTTCTACTTTAAATGCAACTTGGGCAGATATTTGTACAACTTCCTGTAATGTACAGTGCCAGACCCAGAAAAAGAGACAGACACTCCTTGTCTGCACATGTAACAACTTCCTGTAATGTACAGGAGGTACAGTACTACGAACCAGACCCACTCCTCGTCTGCGCGTCTAACAGCTTCCTGTAATGTACAAGTGGTACAGTACTATGAACCAGACCCACTCCTCCTCTGCAAGTCTAACAACTTCCTGTAATGTACAAGTGGTGCAGTACTACGAATGTCGGTACAAGCACGGTAGCATTACAACTAGTGGAACAGCCTGGGACTTCCGTTTGAAAGGACGAGTCGTATGTAACTTTGATGTTCGTAACTCGGGGACTGCCTGTATTGATTTGTTTGTTTTTATGCTAAAATGTTTTTATCATTTTTGGTATCCATTCATTCAACCTAATTCTGAACATCTGTGCAAGCAGCAATCTATAGTAAAACGTGTACCAGTAGATGTATAAATAACGTATCACTTTCATTTCCATGGCAAGGTATATACCACTTTGTGGATACATAACGTCAACATTCCTATAAAAATAAACACTATAGAGAAGCTACATCTCAGGCTGTGGAAATCATTCTTGGTTAGGTTTGAGATTTTATACCCAAAATGTATTAGGATGCCTGGAAAAACAACCAGATTCTGTCCTTATGTCCTAAAACTCACAGTGAACATTTTTGAGCCAATTTTTTTTTATACATGTAAGAGATCAGAAGTTCTTTGCACAAGAACCTTTTCTGTAGCATCTTCCTCGGTTCTTTGGTAACAGAAGAAAAAGCTGGATCCAGTTTCCTTGAGCTTGGATTTTATCTCTTGGGGATGTGCGTCCATAGGTAATAGTTGCTGGTCCCCACCACAGTGTAGAAAAATAGAAAAGTCTTCTGGTTTAGAAGGCTTGAATTTCAGAGCACAGAGACGGATTAGGTCAGCTACTGTCTGTGATGGCTTCAGAAGGATGGTCTTTGTAGTGCAGCCATTAACTGGATCTTGATGGGCAACCCGTAAAAAGTTCTAAAACAGGGAGACATTTTAAAAACATGAACTGCTGGACAAATATTCAGCATACAACATTTCTTTGTTATATGTTCAACCTTTTTTCCCAGATGTGATTTCAATTCATTTGGGAAAGGATAGCAATCAAACACATTTTCTAACTTTTCTAATTACTACTTTCCCTGAGATTGACTGGAGGTGCCACTAGACATGAGACCATAGCCTGTTCTGGGAAAAGTGGACTGGATCTAAGGACAATCCTCCCATATCACCTTTACCCTTTTGCTTATATACAGTGCCTTGCACATCACATGGAGTACCATTAATTCCATTATAACACAATGAAAAGAATATGGCACCACCACAAACCTGACAAGATATGGCTGTCTGTCAAATCTCACAGACTGGGCAAGAAGGCCATTCAGAGATGCAACAAAAACCCCAAAGATAACACTCTCCTAAAGTAAAATGCGTAAGTTCCATTTAAGATTTACATTTTTTCTATGTTACATAAAGTTTAAACTAATGTGATATAATTTTAATCAGCAGACTTTGTTGATTATATTTTACAATAAATATATGGGAGTGTGCAAATTACAGGAAAATACTTTTTTCTAATGTTTTACTATTATTCTTAATAAAAATCAAGAAAATAAAAATATATGTATCCAAATTTACTAACATTTTAAAGCCATAACTGTCCGAAAAAAAGATGTTAGGGTAGACAATGAATGCCAAAAGGTATAATGTAAGGACCTGAGAATTCACCATAACAAGAAAAAATACTCTGGGACACAAGGGGATTTGGGGTAAAAAAAATCATTGGGGAATGTTTGCAGCTATTAAGGATCAGTACAGCTACAACAATGTCTGGTGTTTGGTGATAGACCAGTGCTGTCGCATAAGGGAGCAGAGAAAGTCATCAGCCCTGTGTAAACTCCACATAGGGCATATTAAAGCCAACAGAAGGCATCCTTTTATGTTTGCTCTCAGGGGTTGAAGAGAGCGACGAAGGAAAGATCGAATACGTGTTGCTAGGGAGGGTGCAATTCATACTAACCAGTTGCTTTGCCCTGCATGGCCAAAGTACAAATTTGCTTTGAGTTAGTTTTTAACTGACAATTTCATAACAATATAAATCTTGATCAAATGAACTTATTCAAAAATAAATCCAATCAAATGAACCTAAAAATATATCTTAGGGTGTATCAATACCAACAAATAATTACACCTGAATCATGTATTTCACAATTGTCTAAACACCAAAGCTCACAACACAAATACTGCCAGTTTTGTCTACACGTGTGGGCTGACCAGCATCATTGATGGTAGAGATGTCTTCTGACTATCTCATCTATGATACCACATTGGTATACAATTATTATTGCATCACAAAAGGCTAGGGTAGTCCTTCAACCTGACATAAACTAATATGTATGTACACGGATGCTAGAAGTCTAGCAAACAAATTAGAGGAGCTTGAACTTATGCTCCTCGAAGAGGACTTTGATATAGTGGGAATAACAGAAACTTGGTTAGATAGCTCACATGGCTGGGCAACTAATACACAAGGATACAACGTGTTCAGGAGGGACAGGGTTGGTAGAAGGGGGTGGGGGAGAGGTATGCATGTATGTGAAAAACAATCTAACTGTGCACATACGAGATGACCTTTAGTTGTAAACTAATTGTGGGTGCGTGTAATAAACCTCCGAGCATAAGGGAAGAAGAGGAGGCTCACCTACATTCCCAAATAGAATTAGCTGGGAAGCAGGGAAATGTCATTATAATGGGTGGCTTCAATTATCCGGACATTGATTGGTCAAACCTGTTGCGGGACAATTTCATGGATCAGATGGTTGATGTTCCAACTAGGAAGAATGCTATACTAGATTTATTGATTTCCAATAATGCGGACCTAGTTGAAGACATAACAGTTAGAGATACATTGGGTAATAGTGATCACAGGGTGATTATTTTTAATGTTGGGTACAGAAAAGAGAAGTGTGTTGGTTTAAAAAGAACACTAAATTTCCAGAAGGCAAACTTTGATAAGCTTCACCTAGTATGTGACACTAAATAGGACAAATTATTTCTAACAGCGAACACTGACGAGAGTGGGATTGTTTTAGGAATACATTACATAATGCTATTACCAAGTGCCTACCATTGGGTAACAAAAATAAAAGATCAAGAACTGAGCCTGCATAGCAACGGACACTGACGAGAAGTGGGATTGTTTTAGGAATACATTACATAATGCTATTACCAAGTGCCTACCATTGGGTAACAAAAATAAAAGATCAAGAACTGAGCCTGCATAGCTAAATAAAACGGTAAGACAACACATCAAAGAAAAGAACTCTACCATTTAAAAAATATAAGATGGAGGGGAATGCATTGCCACTCCAGAGCTACAAGGAATGCAATATGATATGTAAACATGAAATCCGGGCAGCTAAAATAGATTATTAAAAACATATCGCCACAGTCTGTAAGAAGAACCCCCAAAAATGCTTCCAATATAAAAAGGTAAGAAAAGACCAGATTGGCCCAATATAAGATGAAAGCAGGAGATTAGTCACAAACGACAGGGAGAAGGCTGAGGTATTAAATTAAATTTTCTCCCCAGTATACACTCAAGAAAAAGACGAGTTTGATGGAGATAAGAATGTGAGTAGCTTAGTGTGTAAGATACCGCAGTGGTTGACGGTTGGCGGTAGCAAGGGTTCACCAAAGACTTGACAAACTTAATGCAACTAAATCGGACCAGATAACTTGCACGCCAGGGTACTTAAAGAACTCAGCCAGGTTATAGCGAGACCTTTATTTCTCATTTTCAAGGACTCCATAATAAATGGAAGGGTACCAAGTGATTGGTGTAAGTCAATGGTAGTACTAATATTCAAAAACGGTTCAAGATGCCAACCTGGGAACTACAGACCAGTGAGTCTAACATCAATAGTATGCAAACTGTTAGAGGGAATGATAAAGGACTATTTAGTGGATTTTGTTCCTGGCAATAGTATAATAAATGATAATCAGCACGGATTTAGGAAGGAACGTTCTTGTCAGACCAACCTACTATCATTCTACGAAGAGGTGAGTAGAGATCTGGATAGAGGGAAGCCGGTGAATGTGGTATATCTGGATTTTGCCACAGCTTTTGACATGGTACCACATAAACAATTAGTACACAAGCTGTGGTCTATGGGCATAGATGACATGGTGTGTACATGGATAGAGAACTGGCTACAGGAACGTGTCCAGAGAGTATTGATAAATGGCTCTTTTTCAGATTTGTCTAAGGTTGAGAGTGGAGTGCCACAGGGTTCTGTGCTAGGCCCTATACTGTTTAACCTGTTTATTAATGACATTGGGGAAGATGTTAATAGCCATGTTTCTGTGTTTTCAGACGATACTAAAATTGGGAAGGTAATAGACAAGGATTTAGACAGTATAACATTACAGGAGGACCTGGATAAAATAGGGGAGTGGGCAACTATATGGCAGATGAGGTTTAATGTTGAAAAATTTAAAGTAATGCATTTTGGGGCTAAAAACAGTCAAAGGGAAATACACATTAATGGGTACTCCACTAGGGAAGTCAGAAATAGAAAAAGATTTGGGGGTCATAGTAGACCACAGATTGATTAACAGCACCCAATGCTAGGATGCGGCAAACAAAGCTAGCAAAGTACAGTCATGCATTAAAAAGGGAATATTATGTAGAGATAAAGCAATCATTTTGCCACTTTATAGATCGCTGGTTCGGCCTCATCTGGAGTGGTCACCAATCCACAGAAAAGATGTCCTGGAGCTGGAGAGAGTCCAGAAAAGGGCAACAAAACTAATTAAGGGGATGGAAAACTAAAGCTATGAGACAAGGTTTCTAAATGTAAACATGTTCACGCTGGAAATGAGAAGATTAAGAGGGGACATGATTTTGATGTATAAAATGTTTAGTGGTGATGGCAACATCCGCAATAAACTTTTTACAGTAAACTCTCTAACAAAGACTTGAGGCCACCACCTAAAATTGGTGGAGAAAAGATTTAACCACAAAGGAAGTAGGGGCTTCTTTTCAGTTATAGCAGTTACATTTTGGAACTCTCTGTAACAAGCAGTGGTATCAGCAGAAAGTATTGAAACATTCCAAAATCATTTAGATACCTTCCTCAGAGACCGTAACATACAGGGGTACAGGTACTCTCAAAAACTAGACCACACAGGGACTCATCAACACACACACACATGCACAATTACATACAGACACACAAAGGTGGAACTTATTCAAATACAATGTAACTTCCAATATACATTTGAACCTTTATGATTGAAAGGACAATATACAGCATTTAATTAACTATAGCATTATTATCAGCAGCAAATTACAGTGCTTTGTTAATGTTTCTCCTACATATGTTATAGGGCCATTCTAAAAAAAAAATGTATTACAGTGAATTGAACTTAAGGGCAATTGTAAACAAGGAAAATTACTCTTATTGTCACATTTGTTCTGTCATATACCTAAACATTTCTTTATCATGTATTTAAAAAAAAAAAAAAAACCCTCCACATACTATAATTCAATTTTAGATATTTTTTTTATCCATATCTATTATAAACATGCATAGGATACCTGTAGGTCATTGAGTGATGCCAAGCCTTGCCTCCTCCGATGCCACTCACTGAGTGACAGTGCAGCATCCTGGGGGTGAGTATGTAGTGAGCATAGGACTGACAGGGAGGCAGATACACTGGTCAGATAATAACCTCCTGATAAAAAGCAAAAAAACAAAAACAATGAGGGTGGTGACACAAGGGCTTAATAATCAAACTAGAGTAAAGAACAAATTTAGTTCCTAGAGCTGACCCCAGTGGTGTATTTTGGTTTTGTGCTGGACTAAACTCAGGCACCCCCCTCAATCTAAAGAATACATTGCAGTCCCCAGCCTGCTTCTGGGACATCCCGCCATCAGATCACATGCTATGGCCAGCCCCGAGCCACCCCGCTGCTTCTCCTCCACCTCCTGTACAAAACCAGCTGGACCACAACTCACTGGGCCCTCCCCTCCACCAGGCAGCTCTCTAATTAGACAACTGCTCTTAGGGCCTTGCGACCACCTAATTTGCCTCATTAGGCAGTCGTCGCTGCCTGATTCTGTGCCGTCCAGCCTCACCCCACTGGCAAGTCTGGGGTGGTGTTTTCTGCTGCCCCCCCTGGAAAGTGCCGCCCTAGGCAAATGCCTAGTTTGCCTTGCAGTAGATACACCCCTGGCTGACCCAGCATTTAGTGAAAGTGCTGATAAACCCCTATAACCTGCAGAGAACTCTGCATATACTAGCAATCAGCTTCCAGAAAAGTAAGTCTCCAGACTCTAATAACTTATTTGTGGCTTATATATTTTACATGAGCTACTTAAGAGAACCAGAAATAAGTTATTGGTGATAGAAGACTTCCCACGTATACTAGCTGATTGATACTATATGCGGTGACACACTGGAGGTCAGAGGAGATCAGCAGCACTGTCCCTAAATGCCAGGTCTAGGTCTCAATTCCTGTACATGCACAGTAGCAGTAGAACCTTATAGACTTCTATGGTAACTGGGAGAGGGATCAATCCCCAACCTCATAGAAGTCTAGTGCAGATCAGACTGTTAGGGCCCCCTTCACTTTGACATTCCACTGCGGTGCATTAGTGCATACACTTTAATGTGCAGCATTTTGCATAGTACCTTGAGCTGCATTTAGACAGCCAGTTCATTAGGAATAGGCTGCCAATGCACAGTAATGTGAAAAACACATCTGCACTTTTTTAACACAGCGCAGTACAATGCAAGGAATGTGCGCTGCAGTGCAAGTTCCTTGGTTCCTACTGTACTTGTGGAGGGTAGTACCAATCTCAATGAACAGCACCACAACACACCACACAGAGTGCCATGTGCTAATGTGCATTGAGGTAATGCCTGGTAAAATGCACAAGTTTCTTGAGTGAATTGACAGCTATGCACTTGACAACTAATGTATCTATTTTCAGGTACTTAGTCCTGTGGCCTTTTGGGGTACTGTGCACATAGTGTGTGTTCCTGTTTCCATTACTATGGAACACTTCCAATGCAGCAGCCATCATGTACGGTACCACATAAACGATTACTACACAAGCTGAGATCTATGGGCATAGATGAGGTGGTGTGTACGTGGATAGAGAGCTGGCTACGGGAGCGGGTCCAGAGAGTATCTATAAATGGCACCTTTTCAGACTGGGCTAGTGTAATAAGCGGTGTGCCTCAGGGTTCTGTGCTGGGACCCATATTGTTTAACCTGTTTATTAATGATATCGGGGAGGGTGTGAATAGCCATGTTTCAGTGTTTGCAGACAATACAAAAATAGGGAAGGTATTAGAAACGGACCTAGACAGTATAACATTACAGGAGGACCTGGATAAAATAGGGTAGTGGGCATTAATGTGGCAGATGAGGTTTAATGTCGATAAATTCAAAGTAATGCACTTTGGAAATAAAAACAAGCAAATGGGTTATACAATTATCGGTAAGCCCCTAGGGAAGTCAGAAATAGAAAAAGCCTTGGGGGTCATTGTAGACCACAAACTAAAGGGTAGTTTGCAGTGCCAGGCTGCTGTAAACAAAGCAAGTAGGGTCTTGTCCTGTATTAAGAAGGGGATGTACTACAGAGACAAGTCTATCATTTTGCCACTTTATAGATCATTGGTTCGGTCTCATCTGGAGTACGCGGTCCAGTTTTGGTCACCAGTATTAAGAAAAGATGTCCTTGAGCTGGAGAGAGTCCAGCGGAGGGCAACCAAACTAATTAGGGGAATGGAGGACCAGAGCTATGAGACAAGGCTAATAAATGTAAACATGTTCACGTTGGAAGTAAGGAGATTAAGGGGGGATATGATTTTCATGTACAAGATGTTCAATGGCGACAGCAACATTGGCAACAAACTCTTTAAGATTAACTCCGTTACAAAAACTAGAGGCCACCACCTATAATTGGTGGAAAACAAATTCCAGCACAAGGTGCGAAGGGGGTTCTTCACGGTACGAGCGGCTAGGGTCTGGAACGCACTGCCATCGGCAGTGATTTCAGCAAGGAGTGTGGAATTGTTCAAAAAACTCTTGGATGATTTCCTGAGGGACCGTAATATACAGGGGTACAAGTACTCCTAAGAAAGAGATGATGCGCGGACCTATATGGGTTGGACTTGATGGACTTATGTCTTTATTCAACCCCAAATACTATATGTAGAATTCCACATTTATTCTTTATTTTTTTTACTTTTAAGCTAATCATTTTAGTTGAAATACAACACCACGATTTATCACTCCTGCTATAGTATTGAATTCTCTATATTATTATTTTAATATGCAATCTCTATATCAGACTCAAACTAAGTGGGAAACAAAAACCCCATTTTACCTCATGTATTCCTCTTTTACTATATGTATAGGATAGGATATAGGAAATATAGGGAATACATGGATCCCGACACAGTGTGAGCTTGCAATATAAATGTTATAAAGGTAAGCATTGTGTAGAAACTCACATGCTAATATCAGAAAAATTAATAAGAATCTTACCTTCCCCCATAAGGGATTCTTGTGGCAGCAGTTCTATGGTGTATTGAGTATCTGTTAGAATTTGTGGCAGCTCACATAGCGCCAGAACATAGCACAGCGCAGGTAGAAATTCATCTGCACCACACGCATCATCTGGAAGAGACAAGTCCACCTATAGTCATACAATGCATATAGATCTCACTTTCCTCACACGCTCCTATCTGGGGACATTTAGTATATATTCCCATTCCTTAATACCATTAAACAGAAAAAAATTATTTTACAAATGAAATATATGTATACACTATTTATTTTTATTGTGAGAGGATGCAGTGCTGTTTATGTATGTACTATATATTCATTGTATAATAAAGAAAGCGTGTCACAAGCTGATTTATTGAAGGGGCGCAAAGAAAGAAAAATGCATAAGAAGAGGTTATCTTTGGTGTCACTCCAAATAAATGAGTGAGCATCTAGATAGATGGAATATACTGTATATCTAGATATAAAGACAGGTGAAATTATTCATAAGTCTGGACTGTTTCAAAGAAAAGTCAAGCTTATTCTAGCTCCAGAGTCTTGTTTTTACCCTTTAAACTATATGTGAAACCCCATCAGTTGCTAAATGCCAAGTGTCCTGGATACTGCACCTACACTTGTCAACTATGCCTAAAAGTAATTTAGAACTACAGATCACCTCCTCTCTCATCTTTTATACAATGGGTGGTTGTACTACACAGAGCTGGGAACAATGCTAACTGATGAGAGTCAGCATAGGCAGAAAGCACAGGTAGTTAAAAGTTCATCAAATTTCTTAGTGAGATTAACAGATATTTTTGGTACTTAACGATCCGATAAAACAAAACAATTTCAATGGTATATTCAACGGGACAAAATGGAGCAAATATGAGAAATTTATAGTTGGGGTTTACATACACGTTAAGCTTTGCTCCAGTGGAAAATGGTGACATTATTACTGTGTGCTTAACTGCTTGAAGACCAGGTGTTTAGACCCCCTTCCTGGCCAGGCCATTTTTCAGTATTCAGCGCTGGAGTACTTTGACTGACATTTATTCCGTCATGCAACACTGTACTGAAATTAATTTTATACCGTTTTTTTGGGACAGATAGAGCTTTCTTTTGGTGGTATTTAATCACCACTGCGGGTTTTTATTTTTTACTATAATTAGGAAAAATTACTGAAATTTTTTTTTTTTTTACGTTTTTTTTTTACATTATTTTAGGAAACATTTATTATTACCCATTTTTTTGGTCAAATATAAAAGATGGGGTCACGTCGGGTAAATAGACACCAAACATGTCAAGCTGTAAAATTGCACGAACCCGCCAAATCGCAGAAAACTACAATACCCAAAATTGGCCATAGGCGATGCTTTAAAAGCTTTTACCGCTCTTCAGTTTAGTGTTATCAGTGATTGATGGCCCTAGAATGATTGCTCTCACTGTGACGTTCGCAGCGATATGTAACATGTGCAGAGTAATGGGCATAATCGTCGTTTTTTTAACGCAGCGCCCCGACGCATGTTTGCATGCGTGTATTTATGGGTGGGGACTTTTTAAAAAAATGTGGGTTTTTTTTATTCTTTTTCATGTGTAACTTTAAATTTTTTGGGGGGGAAACTTTAATTTTTTTTTTCCTATTTTTTTTCCCACTAAACTTTATTGCTATCATATACGGGGGCTAATAAAACCCCCCTATTTGATAGCAAAATATGTGACAGGTCCTCTTTATGGAGACATCAGGGGTCTCCAAGACCCCTAATGTCACCTAGGACCCCCCAAAAGAAGCATCTGAAGCAGAGATCTGCTCCATCAGCTTCTTTCCAGCTTCTGAAGCTGGAAAGTGACACAAGAATGCGGAAGTGATGTAAAATACAACACTTCCGCATTCTTGCATCGGAGAGGGGACCGGAGGGAGCTCGTGTACCGATCTCCCTCTGATCCCCTGTGACATAGGCACCATGCTGATCCCGGGCTCGCACCGGGCACAGTGGAGCCCGGGACCAGCGGGGGGGACCGCGGAGGGACACACACACCGATCCTTTCCCCATATAAGCGATCCGCCGGCTACCGCTTGTACGTTAACGGGCATCGCTGCCTGTTTTTAAATATCGTGCATTTCCCTCGCGCGCGACTGGGCGCGTCTGAGAGGACGTCTAAAGACGCCCTCTCAGATCTAGAGAGCTAGAGAGTTAAAGAAGAACTCTGGGATTTTAAAAAAACTTGCCCTAGCAGTGTGCTCTGCAAGAGCTAAGGATCCATTCACACCTAGGGACAGCGTTTTCACGCATAGAAACTGACATTTTTGTGAGTATTTTTGTGCGCTTTTACTTGCGTGCATCAAGTCGTGCATTTGTGAGAGCAGAGCATGATGCATTGATTTAAATAGACAAAACGTGCATGCAAAAAAAATAAATAATTGCGTGTTTCTAAGCGTTTTCTTTTGAATGTATGGGGACAAACAAGCTCATGTACTTTTTCCAGCGACAGGCGTTTTGCTTATTGCGACACAATGCTCAGGTGTGCACAGGGGCCATACGAATGAATGGGGTTTTTTTTGTGAAGCATTTTGTCGTGTTTATTCGGCTGCCACAATACGCTAGATGTGAACCAGGCCTCAGTGCTCCTTTTGTCTACAGGGATTAAATAAAGCAGATATACTCACCTGATCTTCGGTCTCACAGCAGTTGGCACTCACCTCTTTCCCCCACCACTCCAGCATCCTCGTGCCTAATGCAAGTCAATGGACTTGCATTAGATGTGATGATGTCAGCAATCCTTAGACTGCTGGAGCACAGGGGAGAAGTGGCTGTAGGGCCCGGACTAACAGCCTGGTGGGACCGAGTATCAGGTAAGTATATTTGAGCCCCCTAGACAAATTGAGCACTTAACCCTTGCAGTGCAGAATTTTTCCCCAACGCAAGGATACGTTTTTAAAATTCTTCTTTAAGGCAGCGTCAAGGCTAAATTGGGCTTTGCTCTCATTGTTACCTTGTTGTGTGTCCATGCTTTTGTAAACTCCTCTGCAGGCCTGTAGCAATAGGCGGACCTTATCACAAGGAGAACATTTTAATTGCATTCTCAGCAATTTCTGTCGAATCTTCTCTAGATCTTGACTCACAGGAGCTTTTAACTTTACACCAAGAAGGGATGATCCACCATTCTTTACACTCTGCATATTCTTTTCAAGTCTCTCCAGCTCTCCTTTTTCCTCCATTTCTCTTTGGATTTCAGACATTAGATATGTTTTCAGAGGCTTCAGTGTAAGTCGGTGAAGTGACTTTTCCAAGACACGTTCTGTAATAACATATAGGACAGTTCTGTTGGTGTTAAAAACCTCAGTAACACAGTAACACATACAGCCTTTCTATTTATGATTTAGATATATATCATGTAGACATGTGCACCAGCAAAAAATTTGTTTATGAATAAACCTTCGGGTGAAACATGTGAGAGGTTGTAGTTGGTTGGGGGTGTGCAGTGCTGGCATTTGTTGCTTTATACACTTTTATTCACTGATATACTGGATTTGCTGTGAATTTCAATAAAGTCTGCAGTATTGGAATTCTCTGGATGGTGCGGTCTGTTCATATACTGCTACATTCCAAGGTGGAGACGCACCTATTGGACCAGCACCTGGGGAATCCTGATGGTGGCTAAGGAATTGGAGCGGTGAGATTTCCTTTGGCTCTCTCAGATTTTGCATTATTTCGTTTTTCGGATTCGGGTCCGAAATTGAATTAGTTTCGGAATTCGGATTCGGACGAAATTAGTTAGCGGTAGTCTGGTCGAAATTTCGTTTTTGGACGAAATTTAATTGCAGCAAAATTACATTAGAAATGTTTTTTTTTTTTTTATAGTCTGTAGAAGATAGGGAAAAAAAGGTGTCATAATGCTTTTCATATGACACCTCGGCTCACGGACCCGAATAGCATTCGGAAACTCACGACTAGCATTCGGGAGTCCCCGAATGCTATGTAGCATTTGACAGCTGAGAATATCAAATGGGCGGAGCGAGACGTGACATCACGGCTCGCTCCGCCCATCTGTTTATTTTCGGGCTGAATGTCATTTTGAGCCGAGTTTTCGTCGGGATCAGACGGGCGTCGTGCGGCGGGACTTTTTAGTACACCCTCCCAATGACGAGGGCACGTGGCCTGGTAAGGCACAGGGATGGGGGGCGCTTGATCGCCCCCCCCCCTTTCCTGCCCTTTGCTCGGATCAAGGGTCTGGTAGGGATTTTGGGGGGAACCCCACGCACTTTTTTATGTGTTTTAACTGGGGGGGTCCCTCCTAACATTCCTACCAGACCTAAAGGGTCTGGTATGAATTGGGGGGGAACCTCACGCTTATTTTTTTTCCATCTTCTGCAGACTGTAAAAAAAATTTAAAAAATATTTTTATTTTTTTTCTAATGTCATTTTGCTGCAACAGAATTTCGTCCAAAAAACGAAATTTCGACCCGACTATTGCTAACGAATTTCGGGAAATCGGGATTTCGGATTCGTTTGCATTCGTTTTAGCTGTAATATGGAATTCGGATGCATCGAAACGAATCGCACATGTCTAATATCATGATATACCAAAAATGCACCAATAAATGTGATTGTGGTATATATAGCATGGACCTGGTATCCGGACTCAGAACATACTGTATATAAATGTGTACACATAAAGAACAATTAGACATTATTTGTGACAATATTCTTAAATTGAACTGTCATGCAACAGCAAATATTTTATTGCTTTCTGTGTAAATATTGTGGAGATTTCCCTTTCCACTGACATAACAGTAGGGGCCAAAAGAAATCTCCCCAAAATTATGAAAATTCCATCATGGACAACTAAAGCAGGTATCCTTATTGGCAGTTTTTAATCGGCAGGTGCCCATACACCTGCCGATTATCATACGATAATCACGGGTGATCCAGCTATCGTGCGATAATCGGCAGGTGTATGGAAGGCGTGTGCGACCGTTTGTACTGTACGGTCGCACGTCTTTTGTCTTCTGAGCACGCTCGAAAACCTGGCACACTGCCCGCTCAGCATTGGAATCATGGGAAGCCCTCCCCTCAGCGGGGAGGGCTTGCTATGATGGCAAGTACGATCTGCCTGTCCAAGAGGGGCAGATCGTACGAGATTTTAATTGCCTTACAACCATCGCACAACGAAAGTCGTGCAATGTTTGTAAGGTGTATGGCCAGGTTTACACAGAGTTTGTGTAATGCAAGTTTACATGTACATTATATACCAACAAAGAAGGTCGCCCACCCCCATCTGCTGCAACCCTTCATTTTCTCAAATATAGGAACCACAATATTATAGTAGCCCAGTAAGGGAACATAAGTAATACATGGGTCTCAATGTTGCTAAGAATGTGCATTTCCATGTTTCTTTGTAGGCAAATCTGAAAAAAGATACACTTTTATTTAGCTTTCCATTTAAGGTGGAAAGCTGAATTTCACCATGCCCATATATATAAAATGCTGATGCTTTGACTTATGTCTGCTGCAAGACCCGTGAGTGCCGTTATATCTATTCCGGATATACAGTATATATATATTTACATATATATATTAGGGCTGCGGAAATTAACGATTAATCCCTCGACTAATCGTTAATTTTTTTGAATGATCAAAATTATTTTGATCGATCAAAGTTCTTTTGATCCGTACTCACCTCTCCGCCGGCTTCCGAGTCTTCCGTCGGAGATCCGGTGACGTCACGGACATCTACGTCACCGGACTGCTCCCCCAAGTGGCTGTCGGCTAATGAAGGGAAGGGGGGAGGAGTCCGGTGACGTCGATGTCCTAGACGTCACTGGACTCCTCCCCCTTCCCTTAGTTACCTGATGAAGCTGCTTAGGCCGGCGAGTACACATCCCGGCCGGGAGAGAAACACTTTTTACCTGAAAGGTTTAATCTGCTCAATCGATCGTTTTTTTTTTCTTTTCTGACATCGGGTGCCGCGGCCTGACCGTCAGTCAGAAAATAAAAAAAAAGGCATACGAATCTATACAATATCTGCCAGAGCCTCACTAACCTTGTTCATCGGGTATAAGTGTTTCAAGATGCATCTCTGTACTTTCCCTCAACATATGCTTCATGCGATCCATAAAATCCCTGACATTCTTTAGCAAAGTCTTATAAGTTGGTTGTCCATCCTGTGTCTTATGCTTTACATCTTTATTTTTACTCAGTTCCATATTTTGAAGAAATGCTTGCAGTTCCTTCCCAAACTCTGTTGACACGTCTTTCCCCATTTCCTCTATTAATATCATAATTTTTCGTTCCGGTGACAAAAGGGACAGGAAAGCTCCGCTAACCGCTCGAAATGAGGAACGACCACTTTTCTTTTTCTTTCTACGTGTAAGCTGGGGAGACATTACACCATCCTCCGATGTTATATCTTCTGCACTGCTGATGGATCCACTATCATGCTCTTCCAAAGCAGACACTCCATTGACATTGTTCTCTTTTGCATCCTTTACATCTTGTGTTCTTGTCACTGTGGAAGGGACATTGTAGTCACCCACATCTTTAGACCGCATTGGTGACAGCTTTATCCCAAAGTCACGGCTACCTTTACTCAAGCTCTTTCTCAAACGTTGTCTAAGAGATGACCGAGGCTTTCTATATGCTTGGTCTTCTGATAATTCCTCGGTTTGTCTGGCCTTAGGTTCATCTGGAGCCTCCACCGAAACCACCTCTTCTTCCTCTTTTACAGCTTCCTCACAGGGTACTGGAGGAGGTGGGTTTAGAGGAGGAGAAAGGGAACCTGAATTTTCAGTAGACACCCTAACTTTGATGCTCTTTTGGAAGTGGGAGCGCTTCAATGCTCCAGAGTCTTTAGATTTGAACAGAGGATTTAGAAAAAATAGTGCTCCTTCTTTCCCTGTTAAGGAAACCTCTTTGGGACTACGAGTTTTGAGTGCAGGAACAAGAGTTGGGCTGATAGTATCTGGTAGGTGTGGCAGAGGTGTCAAGGAGAGTGTAAGAGAGGTAGCACTGGAGTTTGGAGTTGAAGAATTATCGCGAGCATTAAGTGAGGAATTCCAGAACTCTAAAAAGCAAAATAAATAACAAGAAAAGCACTCATTTAGAAGGCAAAAAAATATGTCAGTTCTGGTCATATCACCCACATACATCTATATATTCATGTCTGCATTTATTTTACTTTGATGGGACTTAAAACCGCACATACAACCATTCACTTTTACTTTTTGACACAATGCAGCATAGTATGTGTTTTCCCATCAAAGGTATATAGACACACATTCTTACAGACAGTCTGGATAGAAGCCTTTTAATGTACCAGTATTTTTGGGGTTGTTAAGAGGAAAATAAAGCACCTGGAAAAAAACAACGTAAACTGAGGAAGACCATTCCCATTCTATGCAGACTGCATCTGTGGTGAATGTTGAGCCCAATATCCAAACACTTTAACACAAGAGAGCTAGTGATTTGGCCACCGCATAGTTCTCCTATATACCGTATAACATCAATACATTGCCATGCTTTGTTCTTTCTGTGTGCTAGACCTTTGTGCAGTACATTTTTCCCCTTGAGTGGAGAACTTCGCTCTCTTTTTTTTGGTTGTTAACCCCTTCGTGACGGGAGACGTACAGTGTACGTCTTGTCACTTTGTGCCTACATGACTGGCCACGTACACTGTACGTGACGAGTTATATCAGGCTTTGTAATGCCGGTATTTGCTGATTCTCAGCATTTAACAGTCATTCATTAATGTCTCAGTATTGAGGCATTAATTAATGAAATAATTAAGCTTTTTGTAAAAGCTTCTTCCTTTCATTAATGAAAGAATGAAGCCGTTACATGCAAATAGAGGACCGCAATTTGCGATCCCGTATTTGACAGCTCAAAATAGCAGAGAGGCAGCAGTGACTCACCTCTCTGCTATTTGTTTTGACAGCTCGAGAGCCGATGTTTAGATAAATTTCACTGAAAGGATACAATGTATCTTTTCAGTGAAATGTATCATTTCTGATCGTCTAGTTTTTTTTTTTTGTTTTTTTTTACAAAGTGTAAAAAAATTAAAATAAAGTGTAAAA